CACCTCTTTTTTTCACACAAAGGTAATGTAGTCTCGCCATGTTTGTCAATAAACCCTCCTCTCCTGAAACATTTACGCACTTTGCTTCCTTGAGAGTATCAGTTCAGTCCACCACTAATCCTGTGCATGCCGTCGTTGCGTTGCCTTGCCAACGAGAAAACCCACTCTTTATTATCTCTCACCCCAGAGTGTGCTGGAACAAGAATGTTACTGATTTCTCACAGATTGATGTTTTTTTTTTTTTTAGATTCCAATCGCTGTCTTTGAGCTCATCATTTATCGATTTAGAATTCGGAGAAAAATTTATGGTCAGAAAACAGAATGGACCCACACAGCTCAGATAAAGCTATAAGCCAGTAATATTGTAGAAGAAACAAACACAAGATATAGGATTGTAACCGTCACAAAAACTAGAGCTATCAAAACCCGAAACTATGAAAGATGCACAGAAGCAAACAAAAGATTTGGGGCGTTTGTTCACCTACAACGAAGAGGAAAAATCCAAAGTTCGGTCTGCCTTGTCTGAAGAACCAGCACTAATAGTTTAAGGCTAGGAATGGATGTCCAATTAACTTGAACTAGTTCTTACTCTGGATAGTTCAGAAAAAGCACACCCGTCAATTCGGTTATTTTATCATTGTCTGTTATGAAATATTGTAGACTTTGTGGAATCCAAACTTTATTGGCCGACAAGTGAATTACAAAAGACAGTAAAGTTTATACTAGAGACAGCACTGCAGATATAGCTAATGTATTTCAAGCGAACAAAACAAGACGAAATGTAGACTTTGTAAATAAATAAATAGAAGATCGTCTTTATTACAATACATCTGGCAGGCAGAAGATTTATGGTATTTTCTAAATTGTGTTTTTTTTCCCTTTAATTTGCAGGTCTGCTAATCTGTGTTATCTATGTTTCGTCCTGCCAGTCCTCATTTTAGCAGGTATGTAACAGTTTATTTAAAAATGTCAATTATTTTGTTTTTGTTTTTTGTGCATTAAAAAAAAAACTGTTTTATAAATTTTTGTTAAAATATTTATGTGTGTGTGTCAAAAGTCAAAACATATAGAATGCACACTTTAATACTCTTTCTATACAAATTATGGCCCGACTCGCTAGCGTAGTTGGTTAAAGATGACTTCGCGACGGCCGTGTGACGAATTCCTTGTGGTCCGGGTTTACTCTTGAGAGTAGGCAGAAAAGCCACATTTCCCCCTAGATTTACGGTAATTATAATGGAACCAAGGCCAAAGGGTTGCGATATCCATAGTACCGAGCCAAAGTGTTTACAACTCATGGTTTCTGGATACTTGAAAAAAAAAATGAATATTATGTTGTTAATTAATTAACACACATAAAGTGCACCAATGGTGTGTCTCTTCTCAGACTGTCCACAGGGAAAATACGGTCAAGACTGTCTGTCAGTGTGTCTGTGTTCATTAGAAGGAACAGCGGCTTGCACCACAGACATCGGGGCATGTATCTGTAAAGCTGGCTACACCGGGAAACTTTGTGAATATGATATCAATGAGTGCGATATTTCGGAGAGGTGAGTAGTTATACCCACGTGTTTCAACCTTGCCCGTGTGGGTTCCGGGGCCCCATTGTGGGGAAAACAAGAATAGACCCACTGCCTCCACAAAAGCATGTCGTAAGAGTCGACTAATTGGGGAGCTTCCTTTGAAGTCGGAGTGCATCTGCCGGAGAGGCAAGGAACCAACAGTCTGTATTCAAGAGAATGAGATCTGTAAAACTGATGCACACGCAACACTCAGGTTCTGGAGCAGGACTGCAGTTCAGTAGTGGACGAGCAACCAGAACCTTCCGCTAGAGTTTACAGCTGGTGAACGCGAAGAAGAAGAAGATATCAATGAGTGCGATATTTCGGAGAGGTGAGTAGTTATACCCACGTGTTTTAACCTTGCCGACGACAATTATCAGTATGAATGACTGAATTACCTTGACGTCTTTCCGGCTTTCAAAAGAATATTGCACTTCCCTATAAGGGGATATCTCAATCACAGTCCATAGCGTTAGCGATCATGACTAGGAAGGTTATTTCTATTATTTTTTTTTTCAAAGTCTATCACACGTGTATGGAATTTCAGACAAAACAGTGTTGCCTAGACATATAATATATTATTGAATTTTCAGGTACTCAGTTTTTAACCCATTAGTAAATTGTTTTGAAGGGACGCCTTTGTTATTTAAAAGTTTTACTTCAGACAAGTGTCATAGTTATTTCTTGTTTGCTTTTTCGTCCCGTTGCGGCCACTCTGCTCAGCTGAAGAATGACTGATCATCTCTGTCTTATCAAATATTTGTTTCATAAGATTGAGCGTTGCCCTCATCAGTCTCAAAGAGTACACATTCATCTTCTTCATCCTTCAGTTCTCATTATGCCTAGTGGCACATGAGGCTTCAGAGAGGACTTTCCATGCTTTCCTGTCCTGTGCAATCTTCAGTGCAGTTTTTCATGTCAAAGATGCCGCACTCAGGTCACTTTCCATCGTTCGTCTCAATGTTGTTTTTGGGCGCCCTTGTTTTCTCTTTCCCTCTGGTGTCCATATGAGAGCAGTTTTCGCGGGTATATCAGGATTCAATCTCATAACGTGGCCGAGACATTTCCATCTTCTCTTGGTTTTCATTACTGTCTAAAGTTTCTGGTTTGTGACTTGAAGTAGTTTAGTGTTTGAGATTGTTTCTGATCAGAAAATTTTGATAATTCTACGTAGACATGTGTGGTGGAAGGTGGAAAGCTTGTGTGCTTCCTTTTTGTCATTCTCCAGCATTTAACTCCATAAAGAAGAACTGGCAAAATGATGCTCTTGTAGAGTCGAAGTTTCGTTCCTCTGCAGTAATTGTTGGATTTCCAGGTTTGCCTCATCCTTCCAAAAGCAGCTCTAGCTTTGTTCAGACGTGACTGTATGTCTTCTTCGGTCCCTCCCGGCAGGGACACCACACTGCCAAGATATGTAAAATGTTCTACATTTTCAAGAGTTTGGTTATTTATGGTCACTGGTTGTTGGTTTGGACTGCTTGTCATGATCTTAGTTTTCTTAGTATTTATTCTCAGTCCCATCATTTTTGCTGTGCTTTTTGTAGTCTTACTTTTATCTTGTTCATGTTTATGTGATAGGAGTGCTATATCATCTGCAAAATCAAGGTCCTCAAGCATGGTGAATAGAGTCCATCGTATGCCTCTCAATGTCATGTCTACTGTGTTCTTTAGTATCCAATCAATCACAAGGTTGAAGAGGAGAGATGACATAACACATCCCTGTTATACACCTGTCTTTACTGGGAAAGATGTATTGTAATTTTTTATACTGCAGGAAAAGTCTTTAAAGAAGAGAGCAATTATGTTGACTATTTATTTCAGGAATTCCATAATTTTGTAAAATTTTCCAAAGACTGTCTCTATGGACGCTGTCAAAAGCTTTCTCAAAGTCCACAAAATTTATATATATACTTCTCTGCCATTCATTGCATTGTTCTAAAATGTTACGTATGGCGAAGATGTGCTCAGTTGTTCCTCTGCCCTTTCTGAATCCTACTTGTTATACGCGTAGGCATTTATCTACTCCTTTTTCAAGCCGTATTACGATGATTTTACACATTCATCTTGTGCAGTCTAAATTCCGTGTTGAGAAGTTTAAAGTTGCGCTGGGACTGTTAAAACAATATTAAACCCTGATTTACTAGATATCAGAAAGTAACAAAATATCGTGTTACTATAGGCTAAGACAAGACGGCTCTGTGGCTAAGTCGATGCGAACGCCTAGTAATGCCGGGTTTGATCCCAGTTGCAGGCCATGCGCCTTGCATTGGTTTCGACAGTGGTATCAAGGGGCTGACCGTCCAGAGGGCAATGGCAAACTACTCGAAGAAAAATTGCCTAGAGCGACCACACAACAGCCAGGGGCTGCTGGGGTTGATTCTGCAACGTCCTGTAAAGGATGCGCAACTAACCATAGGCTAAGAATAATTTCTTCTCTGTTGCCTCTCCACCCCCTCCCCCACCTTCCCCGTTTATGAATGTGTCAGTTTTATAGATCTCTGAAGTAGTGAACAATTTAATCAAAAGTAAATGTAGAAATTCGGAGCCGCCGCCGTTAAGCGCCTGGGAGCTCGCCTGCGCATCAGAAGGTTGTGGGTCGAGTCCTGAAGGAGCCGAACATGTTTTCAAAAGAACCAGGTTGGCTCTCAGGTCGAACCAGCCTTAAATGGATACGAGGTCAAATCGTGAGGTGTAAAGGCCACAGGCGTGATGTTGACAACATCAAATACTAAGTGCCGATTGAGAAAATCTAAATTAAGCCCTATTATACAGTACATTTGAAGGCGTTTAAAAAGGTCCTTAAGAAATGTATAAATTTACATCCTCGAAGAGTTTTAAATATATTTTGCAAAATGAACATTATGTTTAAGCCAGTCAGTACTCAATGGTACATGTGATCAATGTAGCATATAATTACCTCTAATTCGAATGGATCTCTTCACCTCAGATTCAATATGTAATGTTCCAAGGTTAATTTGAAAGTTCGTCTCTATAGGTATTTGAAATTACGACGACAGGGCTGGTAGGCAAATGTGTTAAACACTAGGCTACTATGACCCACGCTTTATTTAGTTAGTAAAATAAGAAAGCATTTCAGAAAGCATAACCTGCATGAGGAATCTATGTCCTCGTTTGTAAGGAAGTGGGGGAGAAAAGAACAGACACACTGCCACGACAAACACATATTAGGAAGTCTCTAATTCGACATGGCTAAAACGGTATGAACTGGAAGGAATTTCATAGATATCGCAGCCAAGCTGTGAACCACAACGCAACGTGTTAATTTCCCTTTTAAATGCGAAGGTAGAAGACGAAGAAATGGGGCAATGGGAAGCAAATATATTAAATTGGTGGCTTCATTATTACAGCAAACATAAATGTTTGTGATATCAAACAAATGTCTGCTTACCAATTTGTTTTGTTTTTAATTCATGCAAGTCTGTGCCAACGTGCCAATATGTACTGCCGTAACACTCGTGGATCCTATAAGTGTGTTTGCCGGAATGGCTACGTGATGTCCCTCCTTGGTCACTGCACACGTAAGTTTATTTTGCACTGCAGCAGGATTCAGCATCTTACATGCTTGCTTAACGTCCACCAGTGTTTGATGTCCGTGTCTTAGACAGTAAAACACAGTGAAATCTGATCTGCCTTAGCACTGCAGTTCTCAGCCTGTGGATCGTGACCTTTTGGGTGAAAAAAAGGGGAGGGGGTGAACGACGATTTGATAGGGGTCGCATAAGACCATCAAGAAACACATTCACTGAAGTTATGAAGTGGCAACAAATATAATGTTATGGTTGGGGGTTACTATAGAGGAAACGAACTCACTTTATATTAAATACATAACAGATTTGGTCAAACATAGTATTTAATGAGGTGGGGGGGGGGGGGGGGGGGGGGGGGGACTTCTTCAGATTGAAAAATCCCCGTATAGGTTCTAGGGCCCTATTATAGTGAAAAGAAGAATAGACCCCCTGCCTACCCAAAGCGTGTCGTAACAATCGACTAATTGGGAGCTTTCTTCGAAGTCGGAGCGATTCTCCTTGAGAGGCATTGAACCAACAGTCTGCACACAAATGTGTCAGATCTGTCAATGGATGCACACGCAACTCAGGTTCTGGAACAGGACTGCCGTCCAAAAGTGGACGAACAACCGTAACTTTTCACTATAGTTTTCAGCTGATGAATGCAATGAAGAAGAAGAATATTGGACAATTATGAAGTCATTTTCAATGTCTAAATAGATATTTTTTTCAACATTTGTAAACTGATTAAATGTGCATTGCATTGCAAAGTTTATGTGATGTTTGATGCCAGTTTATCTGTTCAATCAAAGTTTTTCAGGCACTTAACTGCTGAATGCAAGAAATTCAGTGTTTCGGTTCTTTGACCAGAAACGATGGCCAGTGCCATTTATTCTATACAATCGGGACCATCAACAAATAAGTCAAAATACGTTTACAGACGTGGAATTAGCACTATTACGTTTACTAATAGATTGTGTTAGTAGCTAAGAAAATCATTATTTGTAATCGTGGCTTAATTTGTGTGTAACGCATAAAATAATATTTTTTAATGGTTAACCATCCCTCACACAAGATTTAAAACTCGTCAAGTATATAAACACTCAAAGAGATATTTAACTTAAACGTACACATTAGACATCAGAATCCAATTAGGATTTCAGAATAATAAAAAATCTAACTTTGATGATTGGTTCTAAATTGGCTGAGGTATCCATACATGCTAGCTCAATTACAGGTAAGTGATCTATTCCAGTGGTCGGCACATTTTTTAGAGATTCGAATTTCTTTTCAAAAACCTGTCAAGCATCATGTTTTTCGGAGTCAAAACCGAACTGTGGCCGACTAGCAGAGCCGCATTCAGGCTTGAAAGCCGCTATATGCCGACCATAGATCCAACTGAACAGGAGCACAAGACAAAGACAATTTCCTTCTGGCAAATGAAAAGAAATGGTAAAGTAATATGTCCTGGGGTCGAAAATGAAGTCCTGTGGTGGTTCTTTGAAGAAACATCGGGTGCAAAGCTACAGCAGCACAACTGGGAGGATATTATCAAGAGGTTAACGAACTAGCATCTCAGGTAGTACACCAGGATAAGAAATGGAGACTGTTGTAGATCAAATGCATTCAATATTTCTTGTGAAGATCGCACTTACTTGGAGGATTTGCGCTAACTTAATTCAGATTACAAATTTGTTGTTACACAGCTTTTTCATTATGTGTCTTTAATTGCGATATATCAGGTAACAAAAAGTAAAGGACCCTCTTCCACGCCTTTAGGCGTAAAGGGCATAGAGGGCTAGACCTATATTTTTATAGACCAATCGGCTCAAGATGTGTGATGATATAGAAGGTAGACCTAATAAAAACATCAAACGGCTTGGAAGGCGATTTAACTTGGTAGAAAAGTCAAGTACCCTTTATTTTATTAGTCCCTACTGCAAATCCTGCTAGAAATATTTTTTTTAAAAACCATTCGGCGCTCAGTGATGATGTCAATATCACGTCAGCCGTCTTTAGGATTCGCATGATATTTCTTGATAATATTTGTATGATGAGTCTATCTGAGAGCTGATATTCAAGAACGAAAACTGATATGTCGTAGAATCGAACTCACTATCGTTGCACTGATGTACACGCGTCTAGCAGCTTGGTGGCCTAAACTGGAATTATTGTGTACTTTTGACAATCGTGGGGTATACGCTAAACCAAAGCAGCTAACTCAATAATCGTGTTTTAAAACTTTATTCAGCTTGCTCTTTATACACTCGTGGAGCAAACTGCTCAGAGATGTGCCAGTGTGAAATTGAAAAGACCGTCTACTGTGAAGGTATGTTGCTGTTAAGTCGTACTTTTTTGTGTGTGCAAAAGTTATTCTTATTTGCTTTTTATACCATATTATGACAATGCTGCCAACTAACACGCGCCAGATAATTGTACCCTTTCCTATGTTATGGATCTCTCTGACCCCCCCCCCCCCCCCCCCCCAATTTATTATCAACTACGATTAATTGCCTTAATTCATCCGATATAGTGAAATCAAATTTTAATCTCATCTTGGTCTCCTCTGCTGCCTTACATGAGTAAAAAAAAAAAAAAAACAGGAGTAAACACGACACAATCCTTACATGCTTAAGTGTCTCTTGGACGCCCTCGTTTCATAAACCCGTCAGTGTCTCATGTCAGCGCACATGTGGTGATACTCTCAATTTACTAAAGCTTAATTTTTACACGGTGTGAGGGCTGACCCCTAAGTCACGGCCAAGGTCGAGTGGTATGAGCGTCCTATACCAGTTCTTTCAATGGTTAGCGCTATCGCCACTTTATCGCCCATTTGGGGTGATGGTGCGGGGACTCATGAATAAAATTCGACACGCAGGCAGTTTTCCTAAATCTGCAACAACCTCATCTAACGCCACTATCTCACAGAGTAATCAACAATGACGTTAACAACAAATGGTAATTTAAAAAAAAAAAAAATGTTAGGGATTAGGACAGACAATATTCAAAGGGACATAACTCTAGCAAATGTTTACTTTTACTGATTGTCGGAATAAATAAATAGTAGCAAAATAACATTTGCCGCTAATGTGACTGTTAAACATTGTAGTCATTATGGCAAATGAAAATATAATCTTTGTATTAATCACAGTTTGGAAGACGTTAACACTTTTTTTTTCTTTCCCTAATGAACAAACTAAATACAGTAAGGGATTGTGATTTTTAGTGTAGATATGTTTCAGGTATTCTCAGTAAGGCGATTGATATTTAACTTTACGTCCTTTTTTTAAGATGAAATTTTTAGTTGTTTGAAGTCCCACCCTGGCTTTTGCCAGGGGCCACAATACAGGCATGTAATAAATATGGCCAATTGTCTGAACGCGGTCTCTGGGACCTCTCCACGGTGATCCTCACCCGCATGGTGCCATCAGGTGTTTATCGCTTGTGTGATGTCCTGGTAGTGTAGAAAAGCAGTCAGTCAGGCAAATAATTGTCTTTAGTTATTCAATTGTGGGATGCAATTTCGGTGTGTATGTTTTTTAAGCCCTTCCCTGGCTTTTGCTAGCGGTCGCAATATTGCCTGACTATTAATATGGCCTAATGACTAAACGCGGTTTCCGGGACCTCTACACGGGTGATCCTTATCCACATGGTGGCAATTTGTGTCATCGGGTGTTTATCGCGTGTGTGATGTTCTAGTGTGATAAAATTTACCACTAGTAAGGTAGCAGTAACAGTAATATAATATACCATTTTGTGTTATTTGAAGCCCTAACAATGTTCTTTTGCCAGGGGTTATGAATATAGCTTGGCCATAAATAAGGCCAAAGGGGTTACTGGGACCTCTCCACGGATGATCCTCATCCGCATGGTAGCACTTTGTGTCACAAAGTGTTTATTGCTTGTGTGATGACCTGATGGAGTACTGCAAGATAGATAGATAGATAGATAGATAGAGAGAGAGAGAGAGAGAGAGAGAGAGAGAGAGAGAGAGAGAACGAACGAACGAACGAACGAACGAACTTTACTTTCAAAGGGTTACAAATTAGGCACGCAGGTCTGTCTTACATTTGGCCCTTCCAAACTCCCATCTTTTACACATCAGTTGTATCTCATCAATAAAGCATGTTATGTTCATGTAATAATGTGCATATTATGAATATCAAGTCAAAAACAAAAAGCATGGATGGTAAAATACGTGCGCAAGCTCGCGCGCGAACACACACACCCACATACACACGCAAACCCTTTTCACTCACTTACACACATACACACATAGGCACACAATACACACATACATCCACATACATACGAACACGCCCACACACACATACATACACTCATACATACATATATACATATATACACACACACACTCATACACAATCATATACACTCATACACACAGTCACACGCACTAAAACACACACGCATACAACCCAGACACATACACAAACAGATATACAAACAAACACATACATACACACACGTAGCTGCACAAATAGACCCATACAAACACACACACACACACACACACACCGACGCACACAAACGTAAACCCACACAGACACACACACATACACACACGTAGCAGCACAAAAGACCCATACAAACACACACACCGGCGCATACAGACATAAACCCACACACATGCATTCGTAGGCACACACACAAACACATACACGCAGGGAGGCAGGGAAACACAGACACAAAGACATACGCAACACTCACACATACACACACACACTCACAGGCATACACGCAGACGCTTAAACCGACACAAACAGAGACATGCGGACAATATATAATAGGCACACCGACAGAGATACACACAGATACACACAAAGCCACACACTCACAGCCACAAACAGACCCAGATACACACACAGCCACACACAAACAGACACACTAAAGAGAAAGAGAGAGAGAGAGAGAGAGAGAGAGAGAGAGAGAGAGAGAGAGAGAGAGAGAGAGAGGTATCATCAGCGCATATTTTTGAAGTTTTCTCTAGGTGCAATACAAGTCCAGTGTGGGTATTGTTAATATTAGGCTTTCTTAATGTGGGTGTTGTTTACAAAACAGCAGCTTTTTCTTACCACATTTATGTCTAAAAATTTTTGGCTAACATTAGTAGGAAAAGGTGTATTTCGTTCCTAAATTATGATATGAATTTTTATTACTTAAATACATTGGTTCTTATATATTAGCATGCACCATTGATGGATTTACGGCATTTGGTTAAATAATGGACAGAGACTTGGAGATAGCAAAAATATCGTATTTGTGTTTCTTACCTGGTTTTCTTCTTTTGTTGTTATTGTTGTTGTCACATGTTTTGGTAAATATGAAGATCTGTTATATATTTTATTTCAACAGGAGGGTTCTGTGTATGCAAGCCGGGCTGGGGTGGAAATAAATGCGATTCTTCTTACGATGATTGTGCAGGCGTTATCTGCCCTTCACCCACTGTCTGTGTTGATCAGCACCGAAGTTATAAATGCATGTGTGCTCCTGGGTTCCGGTTTATGGAGGGAGCATGTAAAGGTTTGCTGCCATGTTGTTGCAGTTGTTATAATGTAACACACTTAATCATCAAGATTTAATCAAGCAACCATTCTATAGCGTTTCCAAAACAAACAAGTCCAAGTCCAAGTCCTTTTGAGAGAAAAAAAGAAAAGCTCGACCACGTTCAGATTGCTGCTAGCTAGCCTAGGCTGCTAACAGTCTCCGCCTATATTTGGGTTATTTGCGTTACTTTCGTGACTGAATACTGGTGTTTGTGCCATTTCTGGCTTAATGCTTCCATCCGAATCAAACCGCTCGTCCTGTTGTCACTGGTGCATGTCTTCCTTCTTCATTCTTGGTGTTTCCTGTTTGTTCTGTCTCCCTTTGATCTGGCTAGGCGTATCTCGAAGGAGAGCGAGCTTCCAAACACAACGACCTTTCTGCCACCATTTATTGTTTTAAAATTTTGAGTATTTTAATTTTGCCAAAAAGTACTGAAAACAGTTTTTGAATGTGAATAGTTCCGAAATGTGAAAGTTTTCCGCGTGTGACCATAGTGGTCTTATAGTTGTCTTCCTGTAATATGAACGGGTTAGTCATGTAATGGATATGTGTGTGAGAGTTTGTGTGAAGTCTTAAGCGGGTCCAGTCGTCATTTGTTATTATGTGATCGGGTTGTGTTGATAGCTAAGCTCCGGTGTACGTAAATACCAAAAAAACCGGACCGTCCAGCTCACGCTTTGAGATCCAAATGATCGGCGATAAGAATTGTTGTGGCATGTTGGGCAACGAACTCAAGTGCTCTCTGTGGGAATGGGTTGGGGGGTTAAACTCGTAGTGCATCCGAAAGAGTTAGGGAAAGTTGGGGTGAAGGGGAGCGGGAGGCCATTCAGTCAATTCTCGTCGTTGCCGTCTTGCTGGATTCTAGCGTGGCTTTTTGCCGGGACTATGTGTATCACGTTACCAACCTTTGCTATCATCCCAGTGATGGGGTGGTATTGGAGGTTATGCGTTCTAGTCCTGTCATTATCGAGTCACTTGTATTCCCTATTTGCTGTCAGTCATATTTTTGTTATGAGTCCTGTCGGTCATGTGCATGTTGTATGCATGCTGTGGAGTGGGATGGTTTTGTTTATGAATCCCCGGAGTATATGGACGCACCCAACTAAGTGTATGCGTACATGCACTCGAGTACTCATACATGCAGACTCGAGCAGGACTCGAAGAGTCTTTCCCAATTCAGGCCCATCTCGCTGTTGAATGTTGAGGGTAAGATATTCTTCTCAGTCATGGCTCGCCGGCTCACACAGTATCTGATGACTAACAAGTACATAGATACGAGTGTTCAGAAGGGTGGTATTCCAGGCGTTCCTGGGTGCCTTGAACACGCGACCATGATTTGGGAGGCTATCCAGAGAGCCAAGCATGAGAGAACCGATTTGCACGTTATATGGTTGGACTTAGCCAACGCCTACGGGGCAGTCCCCCATAGGCTACTGTGGCGAGCCCTTCGCATGTTTCACGTACCGACACAGATCAGTCAAATGGTCGAGCAATATTTCTCTAAGTTCGCTTTGCGCTTCTCTACCTCGACGTTTACCACGAGGTGGACTGAGTTGCAGATTGGGATAGCTATGGGGTGTACGATCTCACCCATACTGTTTGACATGGCAATGCAGATCGTGTTAGACGGGGCGGCCGGCTACGGACTGGGCCTTCAAATAGGGGATCACTGGTTGCCGCCACTGCGCGCATTTATGGATGACACGACTATTATAACGGGCAGCGAGGAGTCTGCCCGCACGATCCTGAAAAGATTGGACG